CAAGCGTGACTTCCACAACATCCCTACTGCAAGACCTTATGATCAAACATAACCTACCACTGCAAGACACCTTACCAGGCACATTGTAGCGACACCTATAAACCGCAGGAAGAATATCTAATGCAGGAATTGCAGGTTGCTGAGAAAGTAACAAATCTAGGATAGCTTCCCTTTTTTTTGACACTTTGTCTGCAAACATGAATAATTGGTTTATATCTGAGAAATCTACATCCTTTTCCTCAACAACCAGACCCAGAACTTTCCTAAGAATCTTCACAGTGCAAGTAACCCTAAATGGAAGAGCCCTTCCCTGGGAGTTGTCCCAGGCCACCACAAAGCATGCCTCAGTGAAATCTATACAGCCGAAGCAGACAATTTGCCCTTCATAAACAACCAGTCTCCCCACTGCAGCACAGGATCATTCTGCACATAAAAATAGGCACCTTTACCTATAAGTCCAAATGCAGAATAGGTTTTCAAACTCCATTTTTTTTTTCCAGTCATAGTACCCCCTTTTTTTCCTTGAGGTAATATTAGACTATTTCTATTGCCCTGATGTCCAGAAAGGAATTTGCACGGGCAGATGGAAGGAGGTCCCTGAAAAGAAAGAGAAAAGGTACGGTATTGCAAGATGGTGTTGAGAATCCACTAATTGGAAGTGAACAGCTGCATCACAGGTAACGGCAAAAAGCAACTTACAAAGGATTCCCTAACAGCAGTTTGATGTACAACCATTTTGTCATTTTCACGCTTTCCAGAATCTTTGCTTTAATTCTGTGGACTCCTTAAGCTGCTATAATGAATGAGATCGTTTCAGAAGTAGCAGCTGTCTTTTTTTCCAGAAGAGAGATTTGGGGGTTGTGGGGTGATACAGGAAGAGGGTAAATACAGTGAAAGGAAGACAAGACAGACAAAGTTTTCAAATAAATTCTCTAGTTATTAGGAGCACTACATTACATCTCGCTGTAAGATTTTCTAAGTATTAGACCATGCTAAGAAAGCATGACAGACAGCAGGTTCTGACTCCCTACTCCCTCAATTCAATTAATTTAACACCTTTGAAGAAAAATGGGTATAAACGAAAGGTTTACAGCAGATCTAAACAAGCTGCTGCTTTAGGTCCCACCACACACACAAATTCCTCCCCCAATAACATATTCTTGGTAATCTTATGAAAGCTGAGCAGCAATTCTGGTGACCATGATAAACAAACAAACAAACAAAACCCCACACACCGAAAAAACCCCAAACAAACAAACAAACCCACCACATACACCCAAAAAAACCCCCAAATCAGGTACTCTGTCTGAACTCTTTCCAGGTTCCTATTACATAAGGACAGTACAGTAAGTCCAGTTCATAACTGCACAAAAATTTGTTTTATAAACTGAAGCAATCATCACATTTCCAAAGTCTTCTAACCTAAATTTGCTACTGAACTTTCACAGGTTATACCAGTACAGAAAATCCAATTGTCCAAAGGGGGGGGGGAAACACGGGACCGTTCCTCCCCAGCACCATCATTTTTTTCTTTTGTGAGAGGTTAATATTGCTCCCAGGAGAAGGCTGGAACAGTTTACCAATTCTTGTTTTTCACACAAATTTCTAGATTCCTACAAAGCCAATACTTCTCCCCAATACAGCATTTATCATGCATACCCCTACTCTCAGCCCAGGTGATCAACTAGTGCCCACACAGAAGGGTCAGGTCTGGCTATGACCATTTTTGGACTAGACAGGTATAAGAGCAGGGATGCTGTTGAAGACAAACTCCTTGATACTCCAAGTGTCTCAAATTATTGCCACAGTTAGTTTGCTCACGCAGCAGCACAATGAGTTCCTAGGTAACAGAAACACAGCTTCTAATTCCCAAGCCAGATTTGCAACCAATCGGCAAAAGGTACGTTCTATGTCCTCTTATTGCACACTCAACGTCACCCTGTTCCTATCCTGTATAACTACTTGAATAGGTCCTCAGAGAACTGATGCTACCAACCTTGGCCATAAAAAAATCCATCCAAGAGCTACATCTATAAATCAACTTGTAAAGCCTTAAAATCTAGCTGCAATTTGGAGTTACTGCTTCCCTCTAGTTTTTAGGGCTCACTTTTCTCAGCTGTGGATAATAAGATCTCTACTGAGAATCTACAATGAGTGCCATTCACATGACTAAAGACTTAGAAAAAGACTTTCAGTGCAGTCACTGCATTTGCACATACAGTGGGGGCATTGGCCTAAATAATGGGGAAATAACTGGGAAGACTAAAAAGCAATGAGAGCCCAGTCTGCCACTGTATTTCAGAACAGCACAATGGAAAAAATTTCTTACTAACAGATACAGTACCTTTTGCCAACCTTGTCTAAAGAAAGGCAAACCTACCGCAGAAGATCAGAGTCTTCAGACTACAGTTCAGAACCCCTTGGTCTAGTACCATCTATGGATTACCAAGTAGTCTGCATAAGATGGCTGTAAGAAGCAGATTCATACCTGCTATACTGCAATGTCCAAAAAAGGCTTCTGTACATAAAACCTTAATAGAAATCTCTGAAGGATTCAACACTTGCATTTGAACAAAGTTTGAGGCCCCTAAGTGTAGAGCTTAAGAACCACCGCATTTCACTAGTAACACCTTCCCATAAAAATATCACCCAAAAACTTCATGATAGGGACTGCAAATACATAACTTGCACTGAGGAACAAGGATCATTCTTAGCACTACCACTGTTCTCTTGAGCTACGTGGCAAATGAAAATAGTCATTTTATCTTACTTTTATTAAGAAACACCAGCACCTTCAGGAAGCTACCAGCAAACCCAAGGCACCGAAACTGTTCTATTTCCTCCTCGACCAGTGACTCTCATCTGCTCGGTCTAGCGTACCTAACCCAGAGGAAACCAGAGGCTGCCTTTCTGCTCATACCAAAGCCTTGGTCTCTTTAAAGCCTTCGTCCCTTTCCTCCAGCTGGAAGCGCTAGCTACACACCACACGCCTGTGCCGCTCACGGTGCTCTCACATCCGTGAGGGGAGACCTCACGATAAATATCTGCGCTTTTTGTTTTTGAAGCGAAGAACTGCAAAGGCTACAGCCTATGCTGACACAGCCTTCCTCCCTCGGGCAGACGACCGGGGTCCGTTCTGGGAAGTAAGCGCCTGTCGGCAGGAGCCTCCCTTCGCTCCAAGTTCGCCACACGCGCCCGCATTAAGGAGCGGGAATTGCCGAAACGGCAACCGAGAAAGCAGAAAGAGCTCGGCGCCGGAGAGGCAGGGCGGCGGG